CTTTTCACCAACCTTATGAGCAATGCATTACGAAAACTGACCGTTTGCCGAAATTCAGAACTATCACAACCAGGCCAAGGCAGGTGTGCGGAGTCAACTTCTCCAAGCATGGCCGTTAGATTGTTAAACACTTTGTTAGAACACTTGCTCAGTCATTAATAAAACCAGAGCATGGACTTGTTGAGGCGTCGTATTTCACACAGAAACCGAGCAATAAACATAGCGATATTTATCCGGCTCATCAGCCGCCGCGAACAAAAATTGCACAGCCACAGGCCGTTAACCGGACCAAAGAAAGCCAGTAAGAATAAAGGGTTATCTGGCAAATACTGCCCAATCACAACGGAGAAACAGGGAGGTTGGACTGAAGGCGTTCAAAAAATAACAATTAGACACGGAGAGGTGAGACTGCAACGTACCTCATATTTTAGACTAGCCAATTAAAATGCACCGAGGCCAACCAATCAGCTTATTGCTACTAGATATTGCAGGCAAACCTGGGAGGATTTACCCAACCAACCCTGCACAATTGAATTCACGTCAATTGGTGGTGAAACGTTCGAAATTCAGGTGCCAAACTTGGCGAGCAGATCAACAATCAAGCGACGCACCAAAGCTACCTGAATACCGTAACATCCGCAGAGTTACCTTTACAGGTAACTATCCAATCAATACAATCGAGAGTGATCCAGCCACAACGGAAGAGACTACAGAATTTCAGAAACTCGTTGGCATACACGTGCGTTAGCTCCCACAACGAAAGCCAACCTACATAATGACTAGAGTATCCACCGTTCAAAAATGTTACTTCACTGTCTGTACCCTAATTATAACAGATTGAAACGCTGTTCACTTGCTTTCCTGCACGCACTGTTCACGGAACGTCCTTAGTGACTAAGTAGTTTGTTACGCGTAGTTGGTACTCAATGCGACCGCGGCTGAAAATATTTCTGTGTTGCTAGTTCTCACCGAAGACTAAGCTGACCAGCCTTTCTCTCAAACCAATAGTGAATTCGAAAAACGAAGGGTGGGGGACAGAAAACACGCGTTCGATTTGCACATATGTCTACCGAATATGCGGGTCACGGTATTCGGATCAAATGTTTGCATCGTTTCCTAATAAAAAATGCTGTCCTCACACCCATCGCATTCCGAGAAGTTTCGAATTTTGTCAGTCAGCCATCCAATGTATATATATATATATNTCATGAAGGAAACTACTCATGAGGCAACACATTCAGTTGTAGAATATCATAAACGAGAGATTCAGTTGAGTCTCTCTTGAAAACCAAATTGATTTGCAAATGAGTGTATTTCTAGGAAGCAGAGTTGTTTGTGAACAGTTGTCACTCACCTGAGAACGTGAGTCAGTTTTTACCACGACCTTTTTTTACATAAAAATTGCTTGAAACTCTTCGGTTACGGGGTTATTAAGTATATCTTCAGTGATGTCATACACTTTTTGTTCTGCGAATGCAAACGATGCACCAACAGGATAGTCTACTCAAAAGGTCAATGTAGGCGAATTAGATACTTTTCTCGTTTAACAACAAGGGACCCACCGGTGAATCGGGAGAGAAAGCAGTCGTCACAGTGTTGGGCACTGGTCTGTGAATTTGTTCCCTCTGATTCGCTCTTTTCACTTCATCATTAGAACATAATCGGCCTGCTCTGTCTGGGTCGTCCCAAAAAAACTATTTGCAAATATATTGGGTCCAACCTTATTGCGAAATTTGATTGCTGCAAGCGAGATACGGTATGCCCATCACATGCTGATCCAGTCCAATGAGTTTAGGTTGATTGAAATCGATCGTACCGTGTAAGAATATTCCATTTTTAAAGCTGACCAATCTGTGCTGAGAATCTGAGCCTTTTGAGAATTCATCAATGTTGCGCATCACATGAAACCAACCTTATAAATTTGATTGCTGCAAGCGAGATACGGTATGCCCATCACATGCTGATCCAGTCCAATGAGTTTAGGTTGATTGAAATCGATCGTACCGTGTAAGAATATTCCATTTTTAAAGCTGACCAATCTGTGCTGAGAATCTGAGCCTTTTGAGAATTCATCAATGTTGCGCATCACATGAAATTTAGAGCTTTGAACCTCCAATGATTCAACACTTGAGTGGTCGGCCTTGATTGTCTGAGCAAGAGTGTGTGTGAGAATTATGTTTCGTACGTATATCAGTATAACCAGACGAACTGAAAATCCAGAATTCAGGTCAGCGCAACAAGTAGCACGTATATATATTCGAATTGGCGTATATGTACAGCATATGGAATATCAAAACAAGAGAATAATGAATAGAGCAATGAATAGAGTATCAGTCATGTTGATCACATCCGCNCCGCAATCTTTCTTCTCGGAATGGAAACTTCAGACTCTTCACAGGTTGTGTGTTCTTCAGATACATCTTGTTCAGATACCATAAGATCATATCATTACCGTAAGACTCATTAGTATTTGAAACAGCAGGATTGCCGTTAACAGACTGACCAATGTGTCTCCGGTGACAAAAGGGATCATCCAAATCAAGAATGTTGATCATACTTTTGCCATTTGATGAAAGTATTATTCCTGCAGCAGGTCGTAAATCACTTTGCCCTTGAAAATGTAACATCAGCAGTTTTGGCACAGTCAAGACTTGTACGTAACGAACGAGATTTAGATAGAAGCGCGGGACTCTCCCCCGTAACGGAATGAACGGCGTTCCTTTATTGCATTAGAAAATTATCGATCCCACTGTCCAATTCCACAAAAGTAGTAGGAGAGAGTGAAATAATGGCAGACTTAGGTGTTCGGACAAAGTCCATTCGACTGGGGATGTCACGGAGCAGTAAACAGATGTGGACATCCAACCATTCCTCGAGGAATTTTGCAGTGAAGTGTGTGTCGTTATCAGTGACCAAAACAGTTGGTACACCTTCATGGCTGAATACTTTCCTCAATGCTTGCTGAGTGAATTCGGCACTTGGAGAAGTAGTTAGAAAAACTTCAGGCCAACGTGCATATGCGTCAATAACGAACAAAGCATAGTATATGCCAAGAAAAGGACCACAGTAGTCAGCACGAACTCGTTGAAATGCTTCACAAGTAACTGGCCACGGATGCCACTGTGAAGACTTGTTATGAATCTTATGTACACACTTAACACAATTCTTAGCAGTATGCTTGATATCAGCATCCAGTTCCGG